AACCCTAAACCCTAAACCCTAAACCCTAAACCCTAAACCCTAAACCCTAAACCCTAAACCCTAAACCCTAAACCCTAAACCCTAAACCCTAAACCCTAAACCCTAAACCCTAAACCCTAAACCCTAAACCCTAAACCCTAAACCCTAAACCCTAAACCCTAAACCCTAAACCCTAAACCCTAAACCCTAAACCCTAAACCCTAAACCCTAAACCCTAAACCCTAAACCCTAAAAAACCCTAAACCCTAAACCCTAAACCCTAAACCCTAAACCCTAAACCCTAAACCCTAAACCCTAAACCCTAAACCCTAAACCCTAAACCCTAAACCCTAAACCCTAAACCCTAAACCCTAAACCCTAAACCCTAAACCCTAAACCCTAAACCCTAAACCCTAAACCCTAAACCCTAAACCCTAAAACCCTAAACCCTAAACCCTAAACCCTAAACCCTAAACCCTAAACCCTAAACCCTAAAACCCTAAACCCTACCCTAAACCCTAAACCCTAAACCCTAAACCCTAAACCCTAAACCCTAAACCCTAAACCCTAAACCCTAAACCCTAAACCCCCTAAACCCCCTAAACCCTAAACCCTAAACCCTAAACCCTAAACCCTAAACCCTAAACCCCCTAAACCCTAAACCCTAAACCCTAAACCCTAAACCCTAAACCCCCTAAACCCTAAACCCTAAAACCCCCTAAACCCCCTAAACCCTAAACCCTAAACCCTAAACCCTAAACCCTAAACCCTAAACCCTAAACCCTAAACCCTAAACCCTAAACCCTAAACCCCCTAAACCCCCTAAACCCCCTAACCCCCTAAACCCTAAACCCTAAACCCTAAACCCTAAACCCTAAACCCTAAACCCCCTAAACCCTAAACCCTAAACCCTAAACCCTAAACCCTGAACCCTAAACCCTAAACCCTAAACCCTGAACCCTAAACCCTAAACCCTAAACCCTAAACCCTAAACCCTAAACCCTAAACCCTAAACCCTAAACCCTAAACCCTGAACCCTAAACCCTAAACCCTAAACCCTAAACCCTAAACCCTGAACCCTGAACCCTGAACCCTAAACCCTAAACCCTAAACCCTAAACCCTAAACCCTAAACCCTAAACCCTAAACCCTAAACCCTAAAACCCTAAACCCTAAACCCTAAACCCTAAACCCTAAACCCTAAACCCTAAACCCTAAAACCCTGAACCCTGAACCCTAAACCCTAAACCCTAAACCCTAAACCCTAAACCCTAAACCCTAAACCCTAAACCCTAAACCCTAAACCCTAAACCCTAAACCCTAAACCCTAAACCCTAAACCCTAAACCCTGAACCCTGAACCCTGAACCCTAAACCCTGAACCCTGAACCCTAAACCCTAAACCCTAAACCCTAAACCCTGAACCCTAAACCCTAAACCCTAAACCCTAAACCCTAAACCCTAAACCCTAAACCCTAAACCCTAAACCCTAAACCCTAAACCCTAAACCCTAAACCCTAAACCCTGAACCCTAAACCCTGAACCCTAAACCCTGAACCCTAAACCCTAAACCCTAAACCCTAAACCCTAAACCCTAAACCCTAAACCCTAAACCCTAAGAACCCTAAACCCTAAACCCTAAACCCTAAACCCTAAACCCTAAACCCTAAACCCTAAACCCTAAACCCTAAACCCTAAACCCTAAACCCTAAACCCTAAACCCTAAACCCTAAACCCTAAACCCTAAACCCTAAACCCTAAACCCTAAACCCTAAACCCTAAACCCTAAACCCTAAACCCTAAACCCTAAACCCTAAACCCTAAACCCTAAACCCTAAACCCTAAACCCTAAACCCTAAACCCTAAACCCTAAACCCTAAACCCTAAACCCTAAACCCTAAACCCTAAACCCTAAACCCTAAACCCTAAACCCTGAACCCTAAACCCTAAACCCTAAACCCTAAACCCTAAACCCTGAACCCTGAACCCTAAACCCTGAACCCTAAACCCTAAACCCTAAACCCTAAACCCTAAACCCTAAACCCTAAACCCTAAACCCTAAACCCTAAACCCTAAACCCTGAACCCTAAACCCTAAACCCTAAACCCTAAACCCTAAACCCTAAACCCTAAACCCTGAACCCTAAACCCTAAACCCTAAACCCTAAACCCTAAACCCTAAACCCTAAACCCTAAACCCTAAACCCTAAACCCTAAACCCTAAACCCTAAACCCTAAACCCTAAACCCTAAACCCTAAACCCTAAACCCTGAACCCTAAACCCTAAACCCTAAACCCTAAACCCTAAACCCTAAACCCTAAACCCTAAACCCTAAACCCTAAACCCTAAACCCTAAACCCTAAACCCTAAACCCTAAACCCTAAACCCTAAACCCTAAACCCTAAACCCTAAACCCTGAACCCTAAACCCTAAACCCTGAACCCTAAACCCTAAACCCTAAACCCTAAACCCTAAACCCTAAACCCTAAACCCTAAACCCTAAACCCTAAACCCTAAACCCTAAACCCTAAACCCTAAACCCTAAACCCTAAACCCTAAACCCTAAACCCTAAACCCTAAACCCTAAACCCTAAACCCTAAACCCTAAACCCTAAACCCTAAACCCTAAACCCTAAAACCCTAAACCCTAAACCCTAAACCCTAAACCCTAAACCCTAAACCCTAAACCCTAAACCCTAAACCCTAAACCCTAAACCCTAAACCCTAAACCCTAAACCCTAAACCCTAAACCCTAAACCCTAAACCCTAAACCCTGAACCCTAAACCCTAAACCCTAAACCCTAAACCCTAAACCCTAAACCCTAAACCCTAAACCCTAAACCCTAAACCCTAAACCCTAAACCCTAAACCCTAAACCCTGAACCCTAAACCCTAAACCCTAAACCCTGAACCCTAAACCCTAAACCCTAAACCCTAAACCCTAAACCCCGAACCCTAAACCCGAACCCCGAACCCTAAACCCTAAACCCTGAACCCTAAACCCCGAACCCTAAACCCTAAACCCCGAACCCTAAACCCTAAACCCCGAACCCCGAACCCTAAACCCTAAACCCTAAACCCTAAACCCTAAACCCTAAACCCTAAACCCCGAACCCCGAACCCCGAACCCTAAACCCTAAACCCTAAACCCTAAACCCTAAACCCTAAACCCTAAACCCCGAACCCGAACCCTAAACCCCGAACCCTAAACCCTAAACCCTAAACCCCGAACCCTAAACCCTAAACCCTAAACCCTAAACCCCGAACCCTAAACCCTAAACCCTAAACCCTAAACCCTAAACCCTAAACCCTAAACCCTAAACCCTAAACCCCGAACCCTAAACCCCGAACCCTAAACCCTAAACCCCGAACCTCGAACCCGAACCTCGAACCCCGAACCCCGAACCCCGAACTCGAACCCTAAACCCCGAACCCCGAACCTCGAACCCCGAACCCTGAACCCTAAACCCTGAACCCTGAACCCTGAACCCTGAACCCTAAACCCTAAACCCTGAACCCTGAACCCTAAAAAGGGTGTGCATCTCGTAGAATGAATCAAGAGTGTTATAATGTTTTGAGTCGAATGAATCGACTTAAGCCTTTTGCAGTTTTTCTTATACAATGAGCGAATCTCGTTGTTTTGAAGGAGTTGGACGGTTGTGAGCGGATCCCATGCACAATCCGTTACTGCGAATGGCTCATTAAATTAGTTGTAGTTTGTTTGATGATATATGCTACTCAGATAACCGTAGTAATTTTAGAGCTAATACGTGCAACAAACCCCGACTTCTGGAAGGGATGCATTTATTAGATAAAAGGTCGACGCGACTTGTCCGCTCTTTTGATGATTCACGATAACTCTAAGAGTAATGATATGCATAGTGACAAAATACTGTGAACCTGGATAGTAACAAATGAAAAAATATTTACACCACATTCACTATAGATACACCAACTAAATACCACCACATCCATTATAGAAGTGCTAAGCAATACGTAGTTGACAACAAAACCACACGAAAAGAAGATAAGATACTGAAGAGCGATAGAGGAAGTATACATATATCAGGGGTACCTAACCCAATAGCTTGTTCAACCCCTTATAATTGATAATCGCACGTCGGATGTGTCATGGCAGAATCTAGCCTTTCCATCGTCTCTGATTGTGTTTCCAGTAAGTTCTAGAACCATATATCCATCCCATAAAGAACCTGATGTGTGTTAGAAATTTACAAAGGTATTAGTGCATTTGAGGTTTTAACGTTAACTTTAAGAGCAATGATATGCACAGTGACAAAATAGAGTGAACCTGGATAGTAACTAATGAAAAAACATTTACACCACATTCACAATACATGTGTATTTATTAATTAAGAGTAAAAAGATAATTTAACGAGAAAGATAAAATTTAAATAAGAGAGTGACAAAAAATAAGAAACCATAATTATTTCACATCATTCACTATTTTATGTCAATATATATATATTTATATATATATCATTTTCCTAATGATAATTAGGAGGGTTTAGAACTCAGGATAATTTTTTTTAGTAATTTTTATAAATTGTGCGAAGTAAAAGTTAAGTTGTTTTTAACAATTCATTATTCTTATTGATGAATAGAACTCATATAAAGTAGTGACCACGTAGGTTGTGGGAGGTCCCACCAGGAGCATAGAGCTGGCTCTTATTCCTGAGTTGCGGGATCGGCGCGTTATGGTTTCGCAAATAGAGTTTGTGGTAGAGACGGAAACAAGGGCCAAGAGATGACAACAAATGCATGGTAGAGACAAGAGGCAGCGATGGGGGCAGGCAAGTGTTAGTTTTAACGTGCTCAGGAGTCGCGTGAGATGTCTATGCTCTCCCAAAAGTGCAAAAGGTAGGGGCTGCTGTTTAGTCCATAAGCCACTAATTCAGTGCCACATGGCACTATCCTGGAGTCCCACTACTCTGCTCCCTTTCCAGCCTCAAATAATTTCCCCCTTCATTTTCATATTCCTCGAAAATTTAATCCAGCGAAAATACTTGTGGCTCAAACTTTTCCAGACACTGAAAAAGAAAATTGAAATGTTAAAAAACCCAAAAAAAAAAGAAAAAAGAAAAAAAAAAACCGTCCGTTGCCTGGTTCATTCTTTCAGCTTCTGAATTTGCCCAGGACCCAACCCGGTTCCTCCTCTTCAGTTCTTCAATCGACCGATTTAGTCTTTCCGACTTCTTCTTCTAGTCTACGAGCCGGTCGTCTTCTCTATTGAGCTCCCTAGAAGAAGAGCTTGTTCCGTAGATTGATTTAGCAGTGGATACAAGTATTACCTACGCCGACGGGAGAAGTAAAGTTAAGTTAATTAGGTGGTTTAGGGCGGAAGTTACAGCCAAAGGTGATGATGAGTGGAGGTTGAGAGGTTGTTGATGGAGGCGGAAGTTACAGCCAAAGGTTCTATTCATATCATTTCCGGAGGTACTCGCACGCTCTTTCAACTCCATTTTTTTACTATTGATTGTGATAAATCTTCTCAGGTCCATGAGCTGTGTCTCTTTAATTTAATTTTGTGTTTTGCTTTCTTATTTACGTCTCCTTTCTTTCCGTTTTGTTTTCTTTTTCTTGCTCCTTCCCATATGAAAGGTTTGGGCATCATGCGGTTCGTTTTGGTGAGGACTCTGGATAAGGAACCTTCTTCTTGCTGTCCCCTCTCAATCTGATGGTTGGATTCTTCTGATTTAAACCTAATTATATTACCCAATCAAAGAGGGACAAAAGTAAAAACTAATTGCAGATATGTTCTGTTTTCAACCCCTGTTGTTTTCCACAGACTAGTACTAATAGTAGTAGTAGTATTAGTAGCTCACTTGCTGTGTGGTTAGATTGTACTGGTAGTATCAAAGATCTCTCCTTTTTTCTTTTTTTTTTTAAATTTTGGATTTTAATAATTGAAATTGAACTGAATGCTAGTATTACAAGTGATTTCGTCATATTTGCAGTACTAGTATTCCATTTCCAGGTAGCATCCACCACCAGAGGCATTACCACAAGTAGAAAGACGGCTCAGATTTTCAACCTTTTTTATAAAGCAGATGAAAGAACGCTCATTTGCTATCATCCCTTAGAGCACCTGATACATGGACACTTACTACTCCGGAGGAGAGGAAGTCATTATTAAAGTAAGATCTGACTTTCCATTCCCTTTCATGACCACTGAACTCAGTGTGACTGCCTACGTACTGTACCCTTGCAAGAGTGGGGGAAGAAACCTCTATTATTATGTCAACCATATACAGTATAACTAATTAAAATGCCTAGCATGTTTTGTTGGTTCCGGCCAGACGAGGAAACCATATACCATAACTAAGCAACGTGAGCGATGGACTGAGGAGGAACATAATAGGTTCCTAGAGGCCTTAAAACTCTATGGACGTGCTTGGCAGCGGATTGAAGGTTATCATTTTCCGCATTCTCTCTGTGGTTTTTTCCGCTTAAGATACGCCTGTTTGGTAGAATACCTCTTTGTAGTTTTGTGAGTTCGCCATTTATTGATCTAGTATAAATGTACTGCTGCTGCTCCTTATTTTATTGTTTGTTTGAATTTGTAAACTGTTTTTTCTGCAGAACACATAGGAACAAAAACTGCCGTGCAGATCCGAAGCCATGCACAAAAATTCTTTACGAAGGTCAAGCACTACATTCTTTTTCTTGCTTGAACTGAGTTGTCGAAACATTAATTTGATTGAAAAGTTCCTTGTTGGCTTTTGATAGAAGTTTGATCGTTTTGAAATTGTGGTTAATTTTCACAACAATCATCTTAGGTCATTTAGGAGTTTAGCTTGACTTACCTTTGGAGTGGTAGTTGAAGAACTATATGCTTTTCCTCTAGTTCAGCTTGACTTTAATTATCTGACCGGCACTTGCCCAGGCCGATCTCCTGTGTTTGAGTAATCTGAGATTGAGAATGATGCTCGAGGCTCTGAAGTTTATTCTTTATTAATAAATGTTAAACTTGGAATTACAATTTGGTCGAAGTTATTCCTTGACAGGAATGTTTGTGATGAAAACAATGCCAGTGTGCTAATCACTGTGCTTCTAAAATTTAATATCAACCTGACAAACTAGCATGTTAATTGAAACATGTCTTCCATCCGGTTTAATTCTGTCTCTTTCAAAATGTGGCCACTCGGACCGTTATGCGTCAATACTTTTGCTTTCACACATAAGAACACCATTAAATGTTGCTTTATAATCTTATGTAGCTGGAAAAGGAAGCTCTTCTAAAAGGAATTCCAATGGGACAAGCTCTTGACATTGAAATTCCACCTCCACGACCTAAAAGGAAGCCAAGTAATCCCTATCCTCGGAAGACCATTAATTCTTCTGTAGTCCACATGGAATTAAAGGATGGGAAACCAATGCATCCAACTTCTTTTAGGCACCAAGCTGAACAAATGATAGATTTGGAGAAAGAACCACTTCCCGAGGTATTGTTTTCTTTTAAGTATCCGTTAACTTTTTGCCTAGTAGTTTGTTTTACGTACACACATCCAAGACACTGCTTCTTTCGCTAATGTCAGAAAGTGGGGGATCAGAGCATTGGAAATGGAGAAGAAAATCCAGCTGGGGATAAACTTCCTGGAAAAGATTTAGCCATACAAGGGTCCCCTGATACCTCATCTTCAGTAAATAAAAGCTCTTTGCCAACGTCAACCGCTCTGAGAAAGTCATATGTTTCTAATGAATTTATCTCAGTCTTAAATGAGGTGGCCAATATGGATGAATCGATTGAATCCCATGTCACTGTAGAAGCTAGAGCTAATAAACAAGCAGATGAATTATGTACTATGCAATCGTCTGGGAAGAGCAGCATGGATAAAGGAGAAGATTTGGCAAATTCACATCCATTGGATGAAAAGTTAGCTCAAAGTAAAGAAAATCAACTGGGACAGTCTGAAAAGTTTGAAAAATATCCTAAAAATGATTGGCAGTCAGTAGAGAACCAAGCTAGACATGTGTCAGTGCAGATTCTTGATGGGAGCTTAGGAATGGCTGCTCCAAAGGTTTCTCATAGTGAGTCATGCCAGGAACCGGTGTTCTATAAAATGGTTGGGGTCGAACCAAAGACATCGACAAATCCATCAACATCTGGCACATCTGAGCAGTATGTTGGTGCGGCAAGGTTTTCCATTAATCAACCATTTGCTGGGTATCATCCCATTTTCACTCCAGTCCAGAATCAAGATAATTATCAGTCAGTTCTCCACGGTCCATCTACGTTTTCAAATCTTATTGTATCTGCTTTGTTACAGAATCCAGCAGCCCATGCTGCAGCGAGCTTTGCTGCTAGTTTCTGGCCTAGCTTAAATGTCGATGCCCCTGCAGAATCCCCAGCAGGAACCCCAGCAGGAGGCTATACAACCGGGCAGATTAATGGAGCTCCGAGTATTGCTGCAATTGCAGCTGCAACAGTGGCTGCTGCAACTGCATGGTGGGCGTCCAACGGGCTTTTGCCACTTTGTGCTCCATTTCACTTGGGTTTTAACTATGTGCCTGCATCAACTTCAACAGTTCCACCAGGTATCAACCAAGAAACAGCTGATACCAGCATTGATATAAGAGGAGAAAACATTGATCCTGCTTTAGAATCTCAGCATGAGAAATCAGAATTTTTTAAGGCTCAACTTCAAGAGCAGCACTCGACTTCAAAATCACCAAGTCTGCCATTATCAGATCGCGGGGAAGACAAGGATCTTAAATCAAGTAATGGAGCAACTCCTAAAAAAACTGAACAAGCCACAGCAGGAACAGCTGAGGTACAGGATGCAAACAAGGCCAAGGGCAGGAAACAGATTGACCGCTCTTCATGTGGATCAAATACACCTTCAAGCAGTGAGGTGGAGACAGATCCTTTGGAGAAGCACGGGGAAAGTGGCAAGGAAGAGTGTAGAGAAGGTGCAGTAAATCTACCAAGTTGTGATCCCAGTGGTCGACGAAGTAGGAGCTCCAGCAGCACGAGCGAGTCATGGAAGGAGGTTTCTGAAGAGGTAGCTGTTTATTAATCTGTGGCTTTGTTTTTTATTTTTCTCCATCCAAATTATTATGTGTGATTTTTTTGCTTATACTACCTGCAGGGGCGTCTGGCTTTTCAGGCTCTCTTCTCCAGAGAAGTACTGCCACAAAGCTTTTCTCCACCACATGGATCGAACAATAAAGGAATGACAGATGACGGTAGTAAACAGAATGGAGATGTAGAAGGTGACGAGGAGACAACTCAGCAGCGAGATATCATGATTCAAGAAGAAGTGGGAAGTGATACGGTGGGAATAAGAAGTTTAAACATGAAAGAAGAGGGACAACTGAGCATGGGAAAACTGAAATCAAGACGGACAGGGTTCAAACCGTACAAGAGGTGCTCAGTAGAGGCCAAGGAGAGCTGCAGGTTGGTGATCAGTGCTGGAGGTAACGAAGAAGAAGAGAAAGGTACAAAGAGAATACGGTTGGATGGGGAGGCTTTTTACCCACTGAACCAACCATTATGAAATCATCAGCCATCATACCTTTTAAGTCAATTTTATCGACTTTGATTATTATCCTATCAATTAGAGTTTGTTTATTCATGAGAGCTAAACTCAGCAAATACATTTGTATCTCCTTTGAATGCAATTTCATGATAACTGTAACTGAGGAAGGGACCTTCTTCTGGCCGCTTCAGTATGCTTTCGTTAATTATGGGCATGTTTGACTGCTGTTCATATTATTTTACTGTTATTTTTGTTAACTTGTATGTTTAAGAATACAGGTCAAAGTTTAGGGTTGATTAATTACAAGTTTTCTTTTTCTGTTTTTTGTGAAGAAAAATAGAATTCAGGAAAGCCTTGGTAAAAAAAGGGGGGATAATTGGAAAGGCGGTTAAGTGTGGGCAGTCTTTATTGTGGGGAATCTCTTGGTTTGTATATGCCTTCCGTCATAAAAAATAGGCTATATTTGAGATTTGTAAGAGGAAGTATGATGCCACATGTGTTTATTTGTCAAAAATTATAAAATAAAGAATAGTTTAAATTGACAATACCACCTTTATAATTCCGAATATGTGTCCTCTTTAGATTTGGAGTTGTTTGATTATTACGGAATCACTTCGTTTTTGGTGGTTTTATTTACAAGGCTTAGAGGTGAACTCATTCTTGCGCGTTTCTGATCTAGTTATTTCATTTGATAACATAGTTATTTCATTTGGGGTTCAATTTTACGTGGTAATAGCCGCTATTAAGAGTTCATTTAAATGTTTGAGCTAATATTTTACGTGGGGTTCAATTTTATTTGAGCTAATATTTTATTTTTATATGGAATATTAGTTTTATTTAAATATTTTTAATCTTTATGTTAGGAAGAATAAAATAAATCAGAAAAATAGTGTCTTTATTGCTAAACTATATTATTAAAAAGATTAACATGCTTATATAAATGCAATCATGTGTTACAACTATATAAAAATTAATTTTTACGGTAGAGTTTGAAAATAAATAAATATTTTTTTTAAAAAAATCATATAATATATTTTTATGGTCATTAAAAGTAGTTGAGAGAAATGGAACAAAATAGAGAAGAATGAAATAAAAAAGTGAAAAGAGACTATTTTGTTATTTTTATATATTTTAGGGGTTATTTTTAAAATTTTTAAAAACTACTGAAGTGTTTGTATTTAAATTTATTATTTTATTAAACAACTAACGGATATCTGTTAATTTGGACGAAAAATGGGCCGATTAGACGAAATTGGCGAAAATTTCAAACATTAGGATAAAGTTAGCTAACCGAAATTTTATTGGGTATGATTAACGACGAACTGGTTTCTTAGGCGTGATGGCAGGTTTTTTCTGCACTGGTTTCTTTATTTTTTAGCCTTGGCACCAACAAGAAAATAAAAAATAAGAAGAATAATTATGTCATTATTAAATTATATATATTTTATAATTTTTGACAAATAATCTATCACCTTCATAAAAAAATATTTTAAGATCATACCATTTTCCCTTGTTTTTTTTAGATATAGCATAATTGTTAGAGGATAGTAATAAGCCATTCCCGTCTCAATAATTCGCGGGCTACGTTTAGTCGCTCACAACTTGTTTTCGTGTCAGCCCCACAGAAAAAAACCCAAGAAAAGCCCAAATTTCAAGTGATTGAAATGACAGATATGGGCATAGGTTGTTCGGAGAGGGGGTGGCGAACCGGAAATTAGGGCCAATTTCTGGAAGGAACAAAAGGGGGGGCTGTTCTTTCTGATTCATTCCATTCGTTTCCTCCCTTCGTTCCCTCCCCGCAGGTACAGCTCCCAATCTCTTCCTCCTTCAATCACAGTCAGTAACTCACTCACTATTCCACCCCCACTCCACTGTATATCACAAATTCTTTCCTTCACACACCATGAATTACAGCATAAAACAAAGATTTACAAACGGCCGCACCCCATCTCCCCCCTCAATCAATCATATAAACATAAGAAGAAGGGAACTTTTCATTCCCGATAACAAAATTCATCATTTCACATACAAACATTAGAATACGAAAGAGGGAACAAAAATTGTGTATTTGTAGTTATTCAAACTGTAGCTGGTCGTTTCATGTATATGTTCTACTCTCTCAATCTCAAGCTCTGTATGTGGCTCTTTTACTTTGTCTTTGTTACCAACCTGATCTCCGATGATGAGCTTCCCTTTGAATTTTTCTATTCTTGAGGTACCTTATAATTTATTTTAATATTTGCTGTTTTGTCTCTCGGTTGTTTCTTTTCTCAGTTCCTTCTGTTTTATTGCGGCCACCAAAGTCCAAAGGGATTTTTAGCCTGGCTTGTGCTTTCTTTTTCAATAATGTATGAATTATTCTATTATTACTCACTTTTGTAGTCGACCAAGACCAAGGGCCATGCCCCTTTGACTGCTATGCTGGTTTTAGTATTACCTTAGCACTAGAATCTAGTCTATTACTCCCAACGCCCCCAAAATGATTGTCCAGTTTGGATTTTCATTTTTAGTTCAAATTGTACAAGAAGTGGATCCTTTTGGGACAGAGGTGTTAGTACCTGATATACCTTAAGCTCTTCTTGTTCTTTTCAACTTGTCCTGTCTAACTCCGAAATCTATCACAGTTTTGCCCTAATGTCCCTCTAGTTCCTCAAACGCAGTGTTGTTTTGTTTGGATATGATTTTGGTTGGAGAATAGGTTGAGGGCCTTCTACGTTTGCTGTTATCTCTGCTTTGACTATCCGGTAGAATTCTGCTTTGTGTCAATGACAGTTGGCCTTTAAGAATCTTCCCGCTAAAAGCATTTTATTCTTTTTTGATACATGTTGGAAAACTTATCCTTGCATAGTTTAGCGCATTTTGAAATATTTTTATTTTCTTTTATTTTCGAATCTTGTAGAGAAGACACTGGTGGATTTGACTTTTGCACATAAAAACAGCCATGGCAGATAATACTGAAATTGATGATCGGGTGGATCTCGATGATGACAACTACTCCGAAGAAGATGATGATGTCGAGGAACAGATGGAAGATGAAGGTGCTGGAGAACCTGAAGACCACGGGGAAGAAGACCATCATGACGACGGCAGAAGTGAAGACAGCGGAAAAGATCTATTGTTTGAAGGGGAAGATGCAAATGCAGTTAGTATTGACCATAATGTAGAAACTTCTAATGCTTCAACTTCTGCATTGGACCAAGATAAGCACTCTGAACTTCTTGATCTTCCTCCCCATGGTTCCGAGGTTTTCATCGGTGGACTTCCTCGAGATGTTACTGAGGATGACTTGAGAGATCTTTGTGAATGCATGGGGGAGATTTTTGAAGTAAGCCTCGCCTTTTTTATGTTCTCAGGATCTGTGTTTTATATGTTACTCTGTGTGTGTGTGTGTGTGTGTGTGTGTGTGAGAGAGAGAGAGAGAGAGAGAGAGAGAGAGAGAGAGAGAGAGTGAGTGTCTGACATTGTCATGGTTTTCCTGCAGATTAGAGTAATGAAAAATAGAGATACTGGTGAAAGCAAGGGCTTTGCTTTTGTTGCGTTTAAGACTACAGATGTAGCTCAGAAGGCCATTGAAGAGTTGCATAACAAAGACTTCAAGGTGAAGTTCTTAGCTTTTCCATTTTGCTTGTCTGTGTTTCTGGTGGCTATGGATGCTATGCTCGTCCTGGTTCATTCATTTTGAGAATTTACTCGCAACTTCTTTGGTGTTCCTCGACTGTAGGGAAGAACTTTACGATGCTCTCTGTCAGAAACAAAGTATCGATTGTTCATTGGTAATGTCCCAAAGAATTTGACTGATGGTAACTTTAGAAAAATCATTGAGGAGACTGGTCCTGGAGCTGAAAATATAGAGCTTATAAAGGTATTGTTTTTGCTTTTGGTGGTCAAAAGGTGTTCTCGGGTCAGCATCTAATGTGAAACTGTTCTTACTGGGAATTGGTGCCAAGTGCAGGATCCTCAAAATCCTAGCCGTAATCGTGGGTTTGCTTTTGTTGAATATTACAACAATGCTTGTGCTGAGTACTCAAGGCAGAAAATGTCAAATCCTAGTTTTAAGCTAGATGGTAATACCCCATCAGTTACCTGGGCTGATCCTAAGATTACTCCTGATCATTCAGTTGCTGCTTCGCAGGTATTGCTCCAATTGCTTCATCCTGAAAATATTATATTCTTTCTTCTAATTCTGGAATGGATAAACTAAAATCTTATATTAGAATTTGAACTGTTAATGGGCATAACTATTTGTGTCACAACTGAATATTGTTTTTGTTTATTCATATGTTTCCTGTGAATGTTTCTTCTCTTTCTTCCTTGCAAGCTCACTGTAACCAAAATGCACGCTTTTATCCAGGTTAAGGCTCTCTATGTGAAGAACATACCCGAAAGTACCTCCCTTGAACAGTTGAAGGAACTATTTCAACGGCATGGGGAAGTTACGAAAGTTGTTATGCCTCCAGCCAAAAGTGGTGGAAAGAGAGACTTTGGGTTTGTCCATTATGCGGAGAGGTCAAGCGCTTTGAAGGCTATTAAAGAAACAGAAAAATATGAGATTAATGGTATTACTTTCTGATCCCTGCTTTTAGTCAGTTACAAATGTTAAAAGTCTCTCTTTTTAGTTAACATGTAGGTGATGATATTGTGGCTCTGCATACTTGTCAGATTTTTTTTCCCCTGGCCGAGATGGGTCTTGTTCAAGGATAGTAAACAATGCTTAAGTTGAAATCTCAAGCTTACCTTTCACATCATGTTAGCGCTGGTTAAACTAACCTGCAAGTCCCGAATATTATGAATCTTTTTTTTTTTTTTGCATCTTCTTGGCGTCTATTTGTCGTACTTATCTCTTAGTTTGTTCATTATCATTACTGACCAATTTCGGTTGTTTATAAAATATTAGGACAGCTATTGGAAGTGGTTCTTGCTAAGCCTCAGAGCGAAAAGAAGTTTGATGTGGTAAATTCTGCAAGTTCTGCACCTCTTCCTAATTTCATCCCTGCTCCTGGATATGGTACTTTTCCTGTGAATCCATATGGGCAGGTTGCGGCTGGATTTGGCACCGCTGCTGGATTTCAGCAGGTAGTTACAGCTGATTCATCAACATCCCCTGTGTATTGTTATGCTGCAATGGTTCTTATTTGCATTTGACTTCCACAATTTGCAGCAACCTATGATATATGGAAGGGGACCAATGCCAGCAGGAATGCAAATGGTGCCTATGGTTCTGCCAGATGGTCGAGTCGGATATGTCCTGTGAGTGTAGTTGCCATACTTCTTCCTCTTTGATTTTATGCTATTTTGGAGGGAATTGATATCCCATACTTGACCAATCAATGTGCTTGCAGTCAGCAGCCTGGGATGCAGATTCCACCCATCCGACCGCGGAGAAACGATAGGGGCAATGGTGGTCAAGGGCGAGGAGCAACTGGTGGTAACAACGAAGATCCTGGCCGCAACAGGCGTTACCGACCATACTAGTAGAAACTAGTGAGGTGATGTACTTGTGGACATAGAAATTACTAGCCGCCCCAAACTTTAATTCGTTTATCTTTCTGGTTGCCTGTGGGAGTGTTAGAAACAGTGGCTATTTAAGTCGCAAGTGGCTGAATTGAATAATACTCGACTTTCTTTGACATGTTTTTGCTATTTAGACCAGAGGAAAATTGCTTGACTCTTTTTCGTTGCTTTTCTGGCACTGAGATGAGAATGAAATTTTAACTAGGCTTAATGGTGATTTTGATTATGTTATACCTACTGAGCTTTTTGGTAAAGCCATGAGATCTGTTTACTACTCCTTTGGGTGAAGAAGCGTTCTAGCCTTCTTTGATATAAAATCCAGCGTGGCCAGTTTTCGGTGGCGGTTATCACCTATTGCGCAATGGTGCGGTCGATTTTCACGACACCTATTGTCAAGGGAGACTCTAGCTGGGTGAGCACTGCGGAACTACAAAATTTTGTACTCCAAATTGTATTGTAGCGAATAAAGACAGGGATTAGTGAAAAGCTAAAGAAGACAACATACGACTAGATCCCCTTTGTTTCTTGTTTTTTTTTTTTTTTTTTTTTTTCCTTTGGGTAAGAAAAATGATCAAAACAATTGCATGAATTACAATTTTCACCCCGGAAAATTCCACTTTTTTTTCCTATCATTTCTTCTTGTTCTTATTACAATATTGAAAGCCGGAACCGTGAATTAAACATGGGCAAGGAGCATGATGTCACGCAATCTCCTCTCCAGTTCTTCCAGCCGAACCCCCCATTCACTATTTATATCCAGAGCTCCGTCATTGGTTGAGATGTGATCCAAAGAAGCAGCAGGGGTATCGCCTAAGCGCTCGTAAGTTAGTTGGTCTCTTCCTTGGGGCGAGTTCCCCCTCTTTTTACCTCTCTCCTTCAGTGATTGCTTGGTTTTCCGAATGGAAGCTTTTTCAAGTGCCCTCAACACATCCGATCCACTCAGCCGTGGGGTATCCGGTGTGGGGGATTTAAAGGCCGCGCGGACTGCTTCACCCACAGCTCCGACTCGGCCCGCCGCCTTATCCTCGTCCTTGACCTTGTGTTGGGTTGCCGCAATATCTTCATCTTCATCACGGGTCCGCAATCTCTGCCTGAACCTGATGAATTTCGGTGGGGCTTTGACATTCTTTGTGGGGGAACCGGGGAGAGTGACGGGAGGCCATGCTTGGCTCTGGCTGGAAGCGAGATATGCTGCTGCCCACATGCTGGCTGCTGGCTGCTAAAGTGCCGTGTGGTGTTCTCACATTCTTTGTGGCACTTCTAATAGTTGTTTCCCTGGACTGAGTCCATTAACAAAGCCCATTTGGTGTTGCGTAGATGCGAAGTATACTGACATCAATGTGAATTTCTGAAACGTGTAAAATGGGTGGAAAAGCCAATTCATACATTTCGGATAACTACGAGAGGGTTCTTTTAATGTGCTTTTTAAACCGTGATAGGGGTTATCGTGCGGTTACTCCACGCGAAGAGGTGTAAATCTTTTGTGGGTGTTTTAGCCGGAACAACCTATATGTAATGCATGCAAGGGCCTTTAAAGCCTATTCCAACAAGTGGCTAAGTGCATCGTGTTGGCAACATAATTGTCACAACAGAAGTAACCCAAAGAAAACTGGGTCTTATCGCTAAACTTGGAGCCCAAACACGAAAAGGAAGAGGGGAACTTGGAGCCCAGTTGGTCCTCAAATTCTGTAATCCTATCTTCTTGGTCTTTTGGCATCATTTTTAATTGGCTTAGGATGAATGGAAATCTGGATTACATGATCCTCCCACAATTTTGGGACCCTGTCTTTCCTCTCTCCCCACCCAAGGACTCTGCCGCTTGACGTCATCGATCTTATGGCTGCCGCCACGATCTGCTCCCTGCAGCTCCCCTTGCTGATCCCCGCATCACCAAAACCACTTAAACAACATAATAAAACCTTCCCAAAGTACAACCACGCCCCGATGACCATCAGGTCAAATCGGTCTACGGAACAAGGCCAACTGAAACCTCAACTGAAATCTACTTCTCTTCCACTTGCTGCTGCCCTGGCATTGCCATTCTTTCTTCACTCTCAGGCATGTAAGACAACTATATTACTCTTTTTATCTTCACTTTAACTGTTAAATCTATAGTTCAATATTGTAGTGCACTAAGTTAGAGATAATTGGCATGGCATTTGTGCCCCTTTTGTTTACATAAGGTAGGTTATACTTCCTGGATGTAAAGGGAAATAAATAAAGGTTGGATTCATTCTATGATTGATAATACTCGTATGACATAAAAATATTCAAATATTCTGAGTTGCAATTTGATACATAGAATTCATCAACTGCAGGATGCATTGGCTATCGGTGGGGAGTTTGGGATTCTTGAAGGAAGGACAGTTTCTCTGGTTCATCCCATTGTGATGGGTGGCTTATTTGTGTACACATTGTACGCTGGTTATCTGGGTTGGCAATGGCGCCGAGTCCGGACCATTCAAAATGAGATCAATGAGTTAAAGAAGCAAGTGAAGCCAGCTGCTGTCACCCCTGATGGAAATCCTCCAGCTGAGCCACCTAAGCCATCCCCAATTGAGCTCCAAATTCAGCAACTCACTGAGGTAATGGAATTCCCCTCATCCAATTTGATAATCCTCCCGGTATCTGTCTGTGATGCTCACTTAATTCGTGCCATTTTCAGGAAAGGAAGGAGCTGATTAAAGGCCAATATAGGGATAAGCATTTTGATGCCGGTTCCTTATTGCTAGGATTTGGAGTGTTTGAGGCAGTTTTTGGTTCGCTCAACACATGGTTCAGGACCGGAAAGCTATTTCCAGGACCCCATTTATTTGCTGGGGCAGGTATATTCGAGCTTTTCTAATGTTTGTACGATTCCTTAGAGATGATCATCTAGCACGGAATTGACTCAATTTTGTCGACATCCTTTCGCGTCCTCTGTTTTTTATTTCTGTGGAACAGGGATCACTGTTTTATGGGCTGCCGCGGCGGCCCTAGTACCAGCCATGCAAAAGGGAAATGAAACTGCTCGGAATCTTCACATCGCGCTCAATGCCGTAAACGTTTTACTCTTTATTTGGCAGATCCCTACCGGAATCGACATTGTCTTCAAAGTGCTTGAGTTTACCAAATGGCCTTGAATTGCGTGTATATACATTAACTTTAAGATGTGGGCAGTTCAGCGCCCAGGACGACGCAAGGAGTCCACTGAACCTCATCATTTAGAGGAAGGAGAAGTAGTAACAAGGCTTCCGTAGGTGACTTGAATCCTAAAAACGACCGCAAACACATTTTCATAAAGTTAATATATACACTAGTATTATAAGAAAATTCTTTGCTTCAATCGATGATTTTTTACTTAACCATTCAGTTAAAGTTTATCCAATCAAAATTAAAAATTACAAATGTATTCTTGTGGTGGGAGACATTGTAAAAAATCCAAAACACTTTCGAACTCATTGATCTGGTCATTTAATGTATTGTACTCTTTTTTCTTTTTCTTCTTTTCTACCAAGATTACATTAATTTATCTCAATAAAAATAATACATTGTAAACTATTTTTTTTCCCCTCGATCAATTGACTATAACAAAACGGCCTGGATCAATTTAGGTTTTACTTTTCTCATGTGGTGGCTTCAAAAGTCAAGATAATATTCATTGTATCTTGCCCAAAGACAACTGGAAAAATTATACATGGCTTTCCATTGAAACTTGCACAAATCAAGCATTTGATTCTTATGCCTTTTGTCTAAAGCTCCTAAAAGAACAACCGGTGTCAAAATTTTCAAAAAAGACATACATTTCTTTTGGGGAAATTACATTGACAGCTGCACAACTCGCAGAAACACTTTTTCTTTTGAGGAAATGCAAACTTTCATTAATCATTGCTGAAAATGGTCCAGCACTAAACGGGATACAAAGTTTGGAGATTCACTCCATAATTGTTCAATGACATCAGAAGATGTAGCATGTTTAGCAAATGTATGAGCAACAAGATTATCAACTCCTTGGAATTTGTGAAAGATGACGGACCGGTAGGTCTTGGTTAAGGAAGACGACATCTTCCAGAACCGGCACACAGGAGGAAGGGCCGTCAACTTCATTATTTGCAGCAAGAAGAATGAGAGTTGAATCACCTTGCACTGAAACATAACTCAGCCTAATCTTCGATATAAAAGGAGAGCTTCTCGGAGAGCTGGAGCTTCCGCGAGATCAGAATCAACTACTCCCTCCGTCCCATAATTATTGTCCAATTTTACTAAAATGAAAGATTTTATTTTTAGTCAAACTTAACTATATTTTATCTTGAACAACCGGATATACCCTTACATAAATAATTGTTTAACCACAAAGATTTGATGGATAATGTTTTTTACTAAGGACAAATGTGTAACTTGATCCATAAAAAGTCAAATTGGACAATAATTTTGGGACAAAATTTTTTGGGCATAGTGGACAATAATTATGGGATGGAGGGAGTATATCGCAAAAACACCTGTGTTTGAATTTGTTTGTTCAAATACTTTTTAAGGGTAAACTGAGAAATTAATAAAATTTTATTCCAAACTATTACTTTTTACCTCCAAATATCTGTAAAAGAATAACTTACACCCTAAATTTTATTGAATTTACAAAAATCTCTCTTTGGGTCAAATTTAGCAAACCGCATCGTGACTTTCAGTAAAAAACTTCTCCTGACTTCTAGTATTTATTCTTTTTAATGTAAATACTCCCTATTCTCAATAAGTAATGATACTTATTTCATCTGTCTCAAATCTTGTAACTAAATAAATATATAAACCTCATAGGTTAAAATAAGTTAGTCTTTAGAGACAGAAGTAATATATATGAAATAATAAGAGAATACTAAAATAGTGTTATAATACTGTAAAATCGGAGTTGGCCAAGCAATCTAAAGCTTGCCCCTCCATTAGTGCGGCTGGAGATGCTGTGCAAAGCTGTAATGGGGCTACCACAGATATAGATATGGTTTATCACAAAGTTATGGTTCTCGTGCTACCTATAAAGTAGTATCTGGGCCTTGGGGATTCAGCTAGCTGTGATCCAACATATATGGAGGAAAATATTTATTTCCACAGTCGAAAGAGAATAAGAAAGATATTCTTACTATTTTAAAATAATTATTCAGTTTAAATTTTTTGTTTTTTAGTATAACTTTTATTAAGAATAATAAAAATTTAAATCGGACTACCCAAACAATCAATCTTATATGTGTGTATTATGATACAACATAATGGTATATATAGTAAAAGAGAACCATCTCTCGAGAAATGAAAAAGTATACAATAACAATAGTAATAACAAATATACGAACATCTCTCGAGAAAATAATAATGCATCCGATCCCACATTCATTCTTTATATATATATATATAATTATGCCGCTTATTCATTGTATCTTTGAATATTCAATGGGGGAACAAGAAGTTCCATACCCGCTATTGACAGAAAGTCAGAAATAACGAAAACAAATTTAAAAAAAAAAAAGGGAAGAAGAAGAAGAAGAAAGAAAACATGCCTCATGCATTACGGTTGCTACTTTTTGTTC